CCTGTCAAGACAGCCAGACGCTCGAGAAGCATGCATGATTCAAGGCGCATTTTTTGTATATAACGATGGCCCTGGGCATTGCGAATGCGCATTGCGTCATTGGCCGCTTCAACTTCGTTCAGGCGCTTTTTCAACTCTATACATTTGCGCTTGTAAGCTGCTTCGATGCTGGGAGGGTTTGGAGGGGCGAGGCTATTGTGGTGAGAAGTGGCCTTTGAGCCACCTTCGTGGCTATCCATTGCGGGAGGAATCGTTTATTCTTTGAGATAGATGAGCTTCATAATCTGACTGGAGAACGCAAATCACACAATTTAAATGAGCAAACGTACCTGTATGTCTTGATCTCCCTCTCTTACCCAACTAGGCTTTAGTGGAAATTTGTTTCTGCGCGCAATCGGCCTCTTTTCGTTGTATAGGCGAAATAGGGAGAAGCTCGAGCCGGTCGAAGCAGCAGTATTGCTTTCTGAAGCAACTGCTTGGTCTACTGAAGGCAAGATATATAGAGAAAAGCTCATCAGCGCAGACGAAAGATGCGCAAACCTAATTAATGAGCCAGGATAAACAGAGTGAGGAGAAAGGATCGTTATGGTTCTTAGGTTATTGAAGCAGTATGTCGCTTGGCGCTTATTGCGGCTGTTAGAAGAGTCTTCCCTGCCGCTGGTTAATGGATCAATGTTACCCCGAAGTACTCCCGTTGTTGTACGCAAGATGGGTTGTAGCTGTTTATGTCATCCGCGATGGCGCTAGAACTACTTGCAGAATACTTTTCTTGAACACTGTAAAAGTGTGATAACTTACAACTGATATCAAAAGCGTAGAAAATATGGGCTGCCCTCAATTTACCTCTGTGCAAATACTGTACTTTATCCAGCCTCTTTAAAAGTCACCGTGAATCTCACAACATAAAGAAAACGAGAAAAGCGAAGAAATATGTTACTTTATAGATCTGTCTCTCAGCCAGGAGAGAGTAGTGGTATCGTGATAATGGTTTTAGGTTCCTTGGAAAGCAGACACTCGTAAAAATTCATCAGGGAAAACAATGATTGGCACTGGTGGTAAACCAACCAGCGAGATGCGGACAGATGACCTTAAAACAACACAAGAGAAAAATCATGTTCAGAATGAAAACATAGCCATGATCGAAAAGAAAAGCATGATAGCAAATAACCCGCCGTAACTCAATAAACCATGTAAAACGGAATTCAGCAATATGAAAGCGGATATTAAACTGCCCAGTTCGCCGTCTGTGTATGTATGTTCCCTTGCCCCAGGTTCCTGTTTCTACGGACTCGCCCAAAAAGGGACGATATCACAGCAAAAAAAAAAAAAAAAAAAAAAAAGGACTTCGTCTCTTTTTTTTCAAAGAAAGAAATGGGTCTGGTTGAGCCTTTGGCGAGTTGTTCAACGCACTCACTGGTAGCGACCAGTCTGCCTTCCCGGCCTTTTGTGCGTCTTCCCATAAAAACATTTCAACCCACATCATCTAAGAACCCTTACCAAAATTTTAATCAAATGGTTCCGATTCACCGGCTTGGAGACGTACCCATCCATTCCCTTGGACAAATACATTTCCGCATCGCCTTGGAGGGCATTCGCTGTCATCGCAATTATGGGAATATCTAGCCTCAACGAGTTCCGTATCTCCACGGTGGCTTCCACACCATCCATAACAGGCATGTTGATATCCATCAACACGGCGTGGTAAGAAAACGGCTTCCCCCGCAGCATTTTCAGCGCTTGGGCACCATCGTATGCGGCATCAACGCGCCCAAATCCCAAGTTTTTTAGCAACTTCAACATAACAGCTTGGCTTATCTTGTTATCCTCGACCAGGAGGAGTTGCTTACCCGGAGCAATAGATTTGAGTTCCTCGATAGGTTCCATTTCAATTGGAGAGAGCGCCCCGGAAGGGCCTGGACTGGTGGCCACGTCCACTTTTCCTAATCGTACGGAAAACCAAAAGACAGAACCCTGACCGTCAGGGTTGGGGTGATAACCAATTGAACCACCCATAAAGTCTATTAAATTTCTGCAAATCGCCAGTCCAAGACCGATTCCTTGGTATTGTTCCCCTGTAGAGCTGAAGACCTGAGTGAAAGGGTCGAAAAGTCGTTTCGCAGCTTCGGCAGGGACCCCGATCCCGGTGTCGATGACCTCAGTATGAACACGGTGGGACGACGACTCATCACTGGTTAGCTTGGACCTGACATGAATTGACCCGGATTCCGTGAACTTTGCTGAGTTCATCAGTAAGTTCTGAAGTATTTGTTGATATCGCAGAGGATCCCCTTTGGAAAATTCTGGGATAGCTTCTGCAACTTCGGATGTCAGTATTACTCCGGATTTTAGCAAGGTCTGGCAGTGTTGTATTGCGTTCCTGTGGATTTGTTGAACGCTTAGCAGATCAGAATTGAGCGTGAAAGTTCCCGAGGAAAGTTTGGAGTAGTCTAAAATGTCATTAATAACGCGCAAAAGAATGGATCCCGAGTTCTCGATTATCCTGGCATATTCGTCCTGTTTATCGTTTAGCCCGGTGTCTTTGAGCAACGTGAGCGCTGCTAGCATGCCGTGCATTGGGGTGCGGATCTCGTGGCTCATATTCGCCAAAAACTGAGATTTGAGCTTGGCAGATTCTTCGTAAGCGGCCACCAAACGGTCCTCAGTTTCCTTCCTGTCTGTGATATCACGCGTAACCTTGCTGAAGCCGACTAGGACTCGGAAACGGTAAACAGGGCTGATCACAACATTGGCAAAAAATTTCGTGCCGTCTTTGCGAACGCGCCAGCCCTCGTCCTCTAGTTTGCCATCCTGTAAACACTTGTCAAGTTCTTTGCGTGGCTTGTCCTTTAAACGGTCTTCTTGGGAATAAAATATCGAAAAATGCTGGCCGATAATCTCCTCAGCGGCATAACCCTTGAGGGCGGAAGCTCCATCATTCCAGGTAGCAACATTCCCTTCGGGCGTCAGCATGAATATCACGACGTGTTTCACGCTATCAATCAGGTGCTTGTAGATGTCCGGAGCATCGAGTGACGGATCAACAACATCGCCCTCCCTATGTATCTTCGTAATATCGCAGCTTTCGAGAATAATGTAGACGAGGGAGGAGTCGTTCTCGAATATGGGAGAAATTCGTAGATTGCAGTAATAAGAATGCGAGACAACCTCGATGCTATCAATTTTGCAAACACTTTTGAGCTTGATCGCTTTGTCGATTCCGTTTCGAAGTGCTTCTATGCTGGTCACGGGGATTTTGGCGGGGTCGAGGTTATATAGGCTGGCGCCAATGTAGTCATCTCGGTCGAGTCCAGAGAAGTTTATATGGCTGGAGGAGACTTCCAAAATATCGAATGAGGAGTTCAACACGATGGTCGGCACCGGCGATAAGGAGATAATGCGATCCATGATGCTAGGGCGCATGAGTTGACATTCTGACTGAGCCTCATGGGGTGGCGCCCCTTTCGAGCGGATAGAGAGGCTGGATTTGCGTCCAATGGTTGGAGGGGTAGAGGACTTCATGTCCAAATTATCAACAAGCAACGGTTCATTCTTGGGCATATATGAAACCAACAGAGAGAAGTAATGAAAGCTGGAGATAAGAGAGTGAGAGGTTAACTGAAGAGCAGTATTTTGCCGGCCGTATATTTAAACATATAGAGAAGCAGGGGGCGAGTGTGGCGACGTATAAGGAAGAAATCAATCACTGGCCCTTCCGTGGCCTAATGCGTCGCCACAGAACCGCTGACAGAAAACTGTTAAAGCCCTAGCTCTACGTGCTACTGAGAAGTGAAGGTCGGCGCGACAGGGCAAACAAGGTGTGGCGAGAAGTAGTCCTCTCAAACTGGCCGCCAATGTTTTCCGTCCACCTGCTAAACACCAATGACTCCGTTCGTCAAAAAACTGTTAAGCCTTTCTTCCCATGTCAGTAGCTAAACGAATGATGAATGGTGTTGGAAGTCAGCGGGAGTCAATCTCTGAAGGTGGAAGACTCTGCTTACCTCAGCACTATCTCAAACACAATTGTTTTTAGCCCATTGTCGGAGCTCCTGAGCTCGTTTCTATCCCAATTGTTATCTAATTAGATTCCGGCTGGGGATTGTTACATCGCCCATGAAAATGCCACAGATATCCATATGGTTTTGATTGTTCATCGGCTACCGGGAATGTTAGGGGGCTGCATGCACGCGGAGACTTAAAAATTCTTCGTTTATTTCAACATTGTTGTCATAACTATCTATGAATTATTTCGCCTTGACTTGTGAATCCCGGATTTCCACACCGAGTACGCCGTCAACATAGTTTTAAGTTGGTCAATGAGCAGTTTGACACACGGGTGAACCCGCTAACTGTAAATCGAACCACGGCTCCTGCTGCTGCTACCCCACATGCTCAACTCAAATAATACTACCGACGACTCGGACCATCTAATGTTGTGGAAATGCGATAACTACATATCGAGTCACCTCACCCCCCCGCCTAAGTGATGCAGGGACTTCAGGCATGACATGACGCAGATCGTTTTTGGATTCAACCCAGCGGCGATCCCATTCAACTTTTTCCCCAAATTAACTAACCATGCTTGATTGATCGCCAACGACGCCCGTTTTTTTGGGACGTACCTGCCGATGCACGCCAAGTCCGTCCTGAGACTGGCCAAAAGTGACATCTTTTGTGCTCTGAAAGTGGTTTTCTTCACGCAGCCGGGGGTCTGTTTTAAAAAGGCAACTAGTTACTGTTGTTGTTGGAGTGGGATGTCCCCATAGATGAAAAAGCGCTTTGCTTTTGAGTGTCTGGCTAACCCTGCATCCGTCTTTCATATCGCCAGCTTCTGATAATTTGTCGGTTGAATCGTGTTCACCAGCATTTTATCCTCTTTCTCAAGCCACTGTCTGGCGTGGATTGATACGGCATTGCAAGATCAGTCGCGGGGTTGACTCCGGTCATTCCGGTACGGCCTATTTAGCTTGAAACAGTTAACCAGTGCGTATTTTATTCAAAACATGGGGTATGAAAACCATGGAAGTTTTCGTCTTGAGGAAAAGGAGAAGAACAAGCTCTCTAATTACCAGACTCGCATTAGAGATATGATAGTAAATTTGAATTGGAATGGGTATGAAAGCTTTGGAAAATGTAGTCACTAAGCTGGACTATTTGTTGTTCTGAGGTTAGCTTGTTTGAATATAATGCTGTGTGGCCGTTTTGATTCTCTAGCCAATCTTCTAGACAACTCTGCGGGAAATCTCGGTAAATCAAAAAAAAAAAAAAAAAAAAAAAATCCAATTTTAAAAACTCTCATTTCCCTATTATTTCTAGGACTCTGTTCACTAGTTTCTGACTGAGACATGGTCCTCCAGGGAGCAGGGAGCAGGGTACAGTGGGATTGAAGGTGCGACGTCGTGGAAGATGTTGAGCGCGTAGAAGATTATGTCCCTGGAGGGTACCATCCTATTATGATTAATGGTGATGAACTCGGTGCGGGTGGGTCGATATGTTATCACTTTTGAACCTGGGTTTGCCGCGTCTGTCGCAACCTTAGCTGGCAGAAGATAGAAAGCAATGCCGCCTTGTTACTCTTAAGATCTCTTCCTTCAAATCTGCAGAGCGAACCCATGAGATGACGATTCTTTCATTGGTGGCTAGATGAAGTTAAATCTGACCTTCCTAGTATGCTTATTATGTAAAATTCATGGTGGTAGTTATGTTTGATGTACGAACTTCCCATATGCGCCACCAAGTTACAATCTAATAAAGCTACAGATCCTCATCTCTCAAATGCTCTTTTCCGCTTGCCATATGGTATGCAAAATATGACTCCTGAGCAACTGCGAGCTAGAACAGGCGAGCCAACAAAAGAATGGATCATCTCCAGGTTATTAGCCTGGGGATCAACTGAGAATGCCCATCCAATACCAGAGTCATTGTGCTTCATAGTTAACTATTTAACGTAATCCACCACTGAACGGCGGATTCTCTTCGAGAATCATCAAATACTCAATGTGTTCAACAACCAACACACATAAATATTGAAAATATTATTAAATTAAGACTATCTAATAGTTGAATATAGCTATTTATTAGGGCAACTGTGTATAGCATGTTCAATGGTTCCACAGCCACTGCAGCATGGTGGAGCTCACTGGTGAGACATAGCTTCAACCTGAGCTTCAATCAGCATATCAAGCAGCTCCAGCAAAGCCACCATAGATATTCTCTTTAGTAAAAGACCTTCTTATGTGCAGATGAATAAAATGATAGAAAATCGTCTCTTAATGATTGTTTTCTACAATTGTCATTCCTTCAACCAGCTTTTCCTATAAGCATTTCAATGTTCCAAACACACCAACATCTAGTGATTGAAGAAGATGAGGATGTATGAGCAGGCATGCAGAGACAGATAATTGCATTATCTTTACAAAAACCATCAAATTCTGCAGTCAGATGATTACTATGATCATCAAGAATAAGTAGCTGCTTCATACTCACTGCATAGTGTTTAGAATATGATTCAAATATTTTCTTAAGCCAGTGTAGGCCTATTACATCAGTGGTCCAGTTATTAGCACTTGTAGCTATTCTTCAATTCCGAGAAAGAGCTGATTCTTGATATCAAGATGCTCTTTTCTTTTAGAATCATCACTGATGAAATAGAACACTCTCTTGACTCTATATACTCAATAATTATGACTCATTTGTAATTCTTCTGAATAACTATACATGATATCTCGCTGCACTCAACTGCAGTAATGACTGCGAAGATTATACAAAGTCTCATTGCAAAGTCAGTCTCATCAAAGTTTCAGATATCATTTTCATAAATCTCATATTCTTCTTGAATAGCTTCACTTATCATCCGTAATCATTGCTTTATAATAATTTTTTTTGATTTATATGCAGCAATGGCCAACTGTATGTAGGATTCTTGAGATAAAGATCTTTTGAAGAAACAATGCGAAGAAATGATGTGTTGAAAATAGTCGAGTTGAATATTTGATGATTTTCAAAGAGAATCTGCCGCTCGGCGGTGTCCGCGGTTGAAGTACGTTAACTCAGTTAACTAGCTAGTTAACTAGGTAATGTAATCAACCACCCAACGCCCGCTCAAATCTTCATTTTTCATTCATCTTTAACCACCTACAACATGCACCATGAAGCAGTTATACAAGCTGTGATTGATGATTTGAACATGCAATTAACACCTAATTACACTGAGACCACTAAAAAATATAGAATCAGCTGATATACATTGTCAAGGTGTTATAGAGGCATTCAAATGTCAAGAAAGGAAGCAAGCTCTATCCACTGCAAAGTTCTCACTGATTCACAAGAAAAACAGCTCCTTTTTCATATCAATCAATTGGCAGATTGCAGTTTCCCTTGTACATCTCAAATCCTTCATAATCTCATTGTTGAGATTCTAAAAGCATCTATTGAAGTCAACTGAGTAACTCAGTTCTGCAAGTGTCATAAGAATATAATCAAGTTACTCTATCTGTGAAATATCAATCAAAAACACAAGATTGCAGACAATTCTACATACTTCAAGCATTATTTTGATCTTATAATAGATTTCTTTCTTATACTACTTTTTTAATTCTTATCTTGCTAATTTATTTTAATTTTCTAGCTACAGACAAAAATTATGAAATATAATCTTGAATCTGTGAATATCTATAACTTTGATGAGAAAGAATTTCTATTAGAATTCATTCACACTTTCAAACATATTGTATTAATTAATTCACTTAAATCAGACTGTATGATAGATGTCAGCGAGAATAATAGTCAAGAATTCATAACACTACTTGTCTTAATTTACATAGATGAAACTTCACTCTCATCTGCTCTCATATATCAAGAGAAATCAAAAGATATGCAAGATACTTGACTCAAAGATTTTGATAGTGAAAAGAATTAGATTTATTTCACTGCTTCAGAAAATGAGTGAAGCAATGATGAATATGAGTTAACATGATTAAAAAAGATCTTTAAACCTCTTACAAAAAAGAAGACAGGCTGCAGATATAGATTTCTTATATTGAATAATTACTCATTTCATATTAATATGACATTCATCAATTATGCAGATCAGAATTAAATTCTACTCACTGTATTTTCTTCTCATTTTACACACTAATTATAGCTACTAGATGTTAAGATATTTGAATCATTGAGTAAATCATATTTCAAACAACTGAATAAATGAATGAGAACTAAAATAAGATTCATACATACTATAAAGAGGTCTTTTTTGGCAGCTTTTTGACACTGTGTAGAAGAAAACAGTTACATCTTCAAGTATTGAAGCTGCATTTGCTGCTACTGATCTACATTCATTCAATTCAGAACATGTTCTTAAAAAGCTTCAAATATGATCTTGTATCTCCTCTGACATAATATATCAATCAAGAACATCTACTTCTATTGTTAATCTGTGAAAATTGATGAAGCAAGTCAAGTAACAGCAGCATCAAATATATAATGATCTCAACTGAATGATCTGTGCAAGAGAAAATCTTGCTCTTGATAAATAGATTCTTTTAATAGAGAATTGACAGCTTCAAAAAGCTCTTAATTAAGAGAGAAAATATTACAAGTGTGACAGGGCAATGAGATTACTAGATTTCTTGAATTCATCATTGATACAGTTTTTATTACTGATAAAGATGTAGAGTATTCACAAGAATTTGACAGTCTCAGAGATTGTGAAAAAGAATAAGCAAGCTCATAAGAAGAATGCAAAGCTGCAATACACTATTCTTAAGAAACAGAAAAAGACAGATATTTATAAGGGGCTGAACCCATAGATTCACTCTGGCTGGCTGACTCAGCCTAGTCATTGTTTGCATGTGCATATGTGATCATGCTACGTGAGCTTGCTTAAGCTTATATTCTTATCTCATTTTTTTCTTCCCTTTTCCAAGCAATTCATCTTTGTTATATAGGAGGACTAGCCTCTAGTTCTTAGAGCTTAACCCCCTATATTATGAATTACTTCACTGCTTTCATTAATAAGTCACTAGGAGTCTTAATTCTGTATCATGAAGCTCAGCAAATGTGCTGACATATGATAGGCTATTGGAAGCCTTAAATCCTGCATCACAAAGTTCAGTGATAGTACTGGTATATAAATAGACTGGATTAACAATTGTGCTAATAAATAAATAAGCAATATTAAAAATGTCTAGCTGAACAAGATAAAGCAGTAGACTTGTACAATAAATACACAAATGAATCAATATAAAGCAATGAGCAAGGACATCCTCAGCAGCTTTGAATAACAATGAATAGCCTTTCTTCAATAGCAGAAACAGGTCCAGCATGAGAACAAAGATTTAATAGCAGCTCAGCAAGCTGAAATAGCTAATCTATGACAAGCTTTGAACACCTCAACATCAATTCTCTCTCAATTGAACTTGCAATCACTTATTGCAGTCAGAAGATTAAAGATCAAGCTACCAGACTGCAAGAAGTATGATGATTCTAATCTGAAGCACTACTCTCAGTGAGAGCTAAAGCTTTAATTAAAACTTAAGATTGATGAGAAAGCTTTAGGTAATAATGAGAAATATGCTTGATATGTGTACTCAAGACTGGAAGTAATAGCAGCAGCTCAAGTTTACCCTTGAGTTGAGAATAATAAGGACAAGGTCAACTTCACAGTAGAGAGCTTACTGGAGCAGACATACATGTTTTTTAGTGATTCTGCACAACAGGAAAAGGCTATGCAAAAGCTCAACAATCTACAATAGAGTAGAAGAGCTCTCTTTGACTTTCTGCCTGAATTTAATCAGCTACTGCTGGAAGCTGGTGGTCATGAATGAGATGATCATATTAAAAAGAGGTATTTGAAATCTGCTCTAAGCATGGAGCTGAGAGAAGGCATGGTGGATGTAAGAAAACTGTCTCCCTACAAGAATAGCTGCAAGGAGCTTAGATTAGTTAATCATTAACTCTTTGAGCTTAAAACTTTAAGGCAGTGATCTAAATGTTATGAGAGTAGATCTTCTTCAGATCATACAATATCTAATTCACACTCTCTACTTTGTCATGCTATTCTTGATTGATGAAATTGGTCTCAAACTTTCACTGATGATTTGATGAATCTCTCTCCTGATGCTGTGACTTCAAGTGCTCATCACACTAAATTGATAAATCAGACAGAGATTAATTGATGAAGAGAGCAAGGCCTGTGCCTGAGATGCAGAGCTAAAGATCATATGATTAAGAGCTGTCTGTTCAAATCTCTCAGACACTCTGCCACTCTCATAATAACTAAGGTAATCTCTAAGCTAGTACTGAATGATGATGATGTGAATATGAATGAGGATTTGGGAAAAGAGTAGCTCTAATCAAAAGACACTGGAAGGAGTGAAATAAAAAGCTTATAAAGAAACAATAGAGAAGATTTAAATCTAAGA